TCGGTACGACCTATATGTAGTTCATACAGTCATTAACCTAATTGTGCATCCTCAGAAAATTATTTGTCTGACTTAAAGAGTTTGTGATCTATATGGTATTACTGACTACATCCATATTTTATGATCGTGCATAGGCTTTGGAACGGGAGTGGGAATATTTATTGTCAATGTAATAGGTCTTCGAAAGCCTCTGAAGACTGGACTGGACGTAAGAGTGGGTTTAAATAAATGAGGACAAGGGAGTCGCTAGTCATGGGTCGAATCCAAGAGTGTAACTTATAATAACACTTGTTCTGTCAGCACCATGGGCATGGGATCAGCGAAGTGGTATACATCCTCCTTCTACCTTACCTTCCAGTATCAGTCCGTGAGTATGGTTGTAGGCCACTGTTTGCAATATTGGCACTATCACGGCGGGGTACACCAGGATCTTCACACATTGTACCTATATACCATTAGAATTCGAACCCGACCGAACGCTTTATCCGCTGGGCTACCACAACGGCGTGATATATTTGAAATAAAATAAAACACTGTTAGTTATGTCGTTAGTTACCGTTGATTGGTGTAGGTCTATTCGACCCATCAGGTTTCATTTGTCCGTCTTGTTTCGACTCTCGGGGTGAAGAGGACATCAATTACAGCAGCAAATTCGAGCAAAATCAAGATGCAATCCAAGCCTTGTTATATATTCAAAGTCAGAACATTCATGAAAACGATACTACTCGATCGCATTTCGACCTTAAGTAATTACTACGGCACATTCGAGAAAAATCAAGTTGCAATACAAACCTTGTTATACATTGAAAGCTATAACATTTATGAAAAGGATACTACTCGATCGTGTTTCGACCTTAAAAGTCGTAGTATAGTATCCTTTATCCGAAATGAAAGCAATCGATCATTTTACTTTACCCTCAACTCAGTTTCAAAATTGATTCAATTATAATACTAGTGGTAATGTCGTAAAATTACTGAGATTAATATCTACATGCAGTATGTTTTACAGTCATGGATAACTGATTAAAGCGAAGCGAAGTACCAAAGTACCGCCATCTTCAGGACCGGTAGGTGGCACCGCCAAGCGTAGGCAGTCAAGCCTATTACAGAGCTTAGACTCCCGACCTTTGATGTTGCATGGTTATAACGTGCACTCAGCATGGGTCGGGTGTAGACGCGAAGTCAGAGACATACTCGGTGGGCAATCATTGGCAGGAAGCATTGTGGTTAATATACCACTGTTAAATCTGACGTCGGTTGGCTACCTTGGCGGATTGCCTCCAGATCTTTTGTTGTCTTGGTGATGGTTAAATTAGTTTTATATACAGGAATGGTTCTTAGAGAAATCATTATCGTTGCCATTAGTGTAACTGTTAGATGTGGTTGTGCGTGGGTTGGCACAACAAACTTCAATGTTTCTGATCTGTATACGTGTACGATTGCCATCAGTTGTGTAGCTGTAGCTGTTGCCATGGTAATGGGCGCCGCAAGAGTAGCAGTAATAATAGTAGTTCAAGTAGACAACCCCACAGCAGCAGCAGTAGTAGTAGTAGTAGTAGTAGTAGTAGTAGTAGTAGTAGTAGTAATTGCATGGCAGTACAAGTATTAGTCGTGGTAGGAGTTGTAGTAAAAGCAGCAGTAGGCGTTGTAGTAGTAGAAAAATATTTAGGAGTAGTAGTAGTAGTGTAAGTTTTTGTTTTGTTTGTTTTGTTGGTCTGTTGTTTAACGCCGCACTCAGCAATATTCCAGCTATATGACGGCAGTTTGTAAATAATCGAGTCTAGACCAGACAATCCAGTGATTGATATCATGAGCATCGATCCACGCGTTTGGGAAACGATGACATGCATCAACCAAGTCAGCGAGCCTCAATTGCCTCTTACGACAAGCATGGGTTGCGGAAGACCTACTCCTACCCGGATCTTCTCGTAGTAGTAGTAGTAGTAGGAGGAGGAGGAGTAGTTGTAGCAGCAAATCGTGTGTTGTAGTTGTAGTGACAAATAGTAGTAGTAGCACAACGGCAGCAGTATCTTAAGAGGCAGACTTCTCAGAAGTAACGCACAAGCTGTAGACAATATGTACTGGGTAATACACAGCTATATATCAGCAATGTGTGTTGTATCGAAGCACCTCTTGTGGGCACATTTGTCGCAATCATGATATGTAGCGGCAGTTACAGAAGTAGTGGGGGACTTGGAGATGTAGAAACATTAATTTATCAATAAAATATCACATTCGTCGGTAACCATGCCAATAGCTTGTACTATGTCCTTCCCTTAACACGGTCTCAACCGGTTAGGTTTACTCGCTGTATATAAAAAAAACAAAGTTCATAAAAGTGGCTTCATCATAACTCCTGGGTATTATGCACACTTTATGGGCTGAGCAGGGTTGTGCGTCATCCACGTTTTTGTATTGATTTCAAAGATGTAGTCGGGCCAGGTTGAGCAATTTTGTAACAATATTTACGTCACTAATCATCCAATCTATACCCTTTGGTGTTTCTTTGCCATTTGACAACAAAATAAGCAGCTAAAAAAACCATCGCCTTTCTTGTGCGCTTTTTTAGCATTAATTATATTCATGCCCAAAGTAATACATGAAAAATGTATTTTTTGCAAGCCCTTAAATCTAGCTCATTGCGCCATGTCATTCCGCTCTGTAGGAAATTCCAAAAATAATTCCGTATTCCGCCAGACATTCCAGGAACCCTTACCCCACCTGGGGCTAACTCAAGGCGTAAAATAGCATCCCCACGGCAAGGAAGATGAACTCTTTCGTAAACCTCCCCTCGTGCTAATGTTAATAGAGACCAGTGCGTATTTACGGAACGGGCGACGAATCTGACCATACCGAATCACCAGTGTGAATGAGTCCTGATTAGTGTACTGCACTGCTTAGAGGTGAGGTGAAATGGGGTTTAACGTCGCGTCCAAGATTATTGCACTTATATGTACGTGTGTGTGTGTTTGTGTGGCTGTTTGTACTAGTCCGGACTGATACCGATTTGTAGTGCTAGCTCACTGAGATACAATGCCGCAGTTTAACACGAATAACCCACTCAGACACAGTATACTGACTCTGAGCCGACCAGTCCTTGTTTTAGCCCCTTAGGCAGGGTAACAACAAGTACCACCTTTTAACGTCTTTTGGTATGACCTTCTGCTCTCCGGGCGGACGCTCTACCACTAGACCACGGTGGCGGTCTGCAATGCTTAGAAGATCGTTATAATACTTCCCTTGCCCATAGTTAGATACATGTGTGTGTTACATGGGTCATTTCTTGTCAAAACATGATGAGGCACGTGTCGTCTGAGGCGCCACAATTCGCTGTGGAGAGTTGCGTCCCTTAGGTGTGCAAAAAGACTTTAATCGTGGGTTCGTATCCCAAGTTATTTTTCTAGGTTTGTCAGCGCCATATCCGTGATCAAGTGGTAAATGTCTAAGATCAGCATCATCTCTCTTCCCAAGATGACACGCGGTGATATAACTGAAATACTGTCCAAATTGTCGTTAGGCTTCACTCACTCACTCACTAACATTCTTCTCGGTCGAACTTCCATCTGGTACACTGTATGGAATCTTAGATGTTCCTTGATGTTCTTAGATGTTCTGTGATGTTGCTAAACAACGTTGTAAAGGATGTATGGTGTATAGTGATATGACTTGTTATAGTGCCTATTGTTTTACGGTGCGTTATCAATGTAAGCAATATAACAATAGAGGACATCAAGAATGGGCGTCATTAAATCAAACCCGGATATTCGTTGTTATGAGAAAACGCCTTAGCCACAAGACTACCCTATCATTGCAACGTTGAACGATATTCCCATTTATCGGATAAAATCGTCGCCATCGGCTTAAATACAAATATTTGCGAAAAGAAAATATGGTTTGCCGGATTCGAACGTAATTCCCTCACTGATATTAAAATCCGGACGAAAAAGGTTTCATGAATGCTCGTTTCTTCCAGTAATCTTTACAGCAATCTTATTATCAAGTTTCAAAAATAACCCCGAACACACAAGAACATTTAGCCAGATACACAACACACTGCCAAGGGACAAAGTCCGTGTTTGTCAAATCTTACGAAACCCGGAACAAAACCGATTATTTTGGTCTGAAATTTCCATGGCTACTCAAAGGAAAGTAGATTCTCTGCATCCGTCTTTCTTTGAGACAGTATAAGATGAACCGAACAGCACAGCTTGGGGGAATATCCGCATTTAGTCATCGTATTCTTCTTTTATTATGATTGACCAAAGCGGCAGTATGTAGGCGGCAGGGACAAAACTGTCACCAGGAACAACTAGACTCGACAACTTTTCACGACACCGTTCACCTTCACCTTCGCCACTAAAGCATAGCGTGATATTCGACGTCAGCCACTAGCCAGATCTACTGTGGTCTATGTCTACTGTGGTCATATTATTCTGTGGTATAATGTCAAAATATACATTTGAAACGTATCATTACAGTTGCCAATGCCAAATTTGATAGTATTTGTATATCTTGCCAAATCTCTGGCTAGTGCGTGTGTATTGCTACGTTCCTCGGACGTGAATGTTTCACGTAATCGTGGGGAAGTTTGTTTCCGCACGAATGAAAATTTAACAATTGTCCCAGGTCGCGATCGAGCTGCGAAACGTTCGCGTTCTGGCCGCTATCGAAAGACGTTTATTTTGTACAGCAGTGTATAAAAACGTTGATAGTGCGTATCTGCACCTTGCGCTTTGTTTAAACGTTGGCCGATTGCAAACCGCACGTTACATAAGTGGGATTCTTTTGTATTAAAATGTAACAGCCTCGACGACGACTTTAAGGATAAGAAATTTAAATGTATGTCATTTTGATACTTCTGTCATATTCCTAAATACTCGATGTTATTTCTCGCATTGATTCCATATACATGAAATACATAATCTGATGTTTTTAGCAGCACGAAATACTTAAAGGTATTTGACAATCATGTTTTCACACACCTATCTTGATTCTTTCAGATGTAATCACGTGACAGATATCGGAATCGGGTACGTGTCAACGATGACGTCACTGCAGAAGTTGTACCTCCGATGGTGTACGCAGGTGCGGGACTTTGGACTGCAACATCTTTACTCCATGCGAAATCTCAGGGTGCTGTCGCTGGCAGGTGCGTGTTACGTTATAACATCCAGGTTAGAATAGGTCTTCAGCAACCCATGCTTGTCGTCAGAGGCGACTAACGGGAGCGGGTGGTGAGGCTCGCTGACTCAGTTGATGCATGTCATCGTCCTAATTGCGCGGATCGATGCTGATGATATCAGTCACTGGATTGCCTGGTTCAGACTCGATTACAGACCGCCGTCATATAGCTGGAATATTGTTGAGTACGGTGTTAAACAACCAACGAACGAACCTGGAGATAAACTGTCGGGTAAGGAAAGTACAGACTTGAACATTGGGTTGACTAATTATTTACAAACGTTATCAAAACGTTACTAGATTGAAAACAATCGCCGAAACACTGCATATGTAAGGTCCAAAAACTATGACACCCGTATCAAATACATCATCATCGAATAACAAATTCCAGTTTGTTTCATTTTTAGCCACCATTTGTGAGTGTATACTTTCTTTCTCCCTCTGCACTATATTTTATAAAATGGTTCTGCTCACAGTATATAACTATTTAAGTAAAAATATTTATGAGTTAGTAGTTGGTGCAACATGGAGTGGTAGCTTAATGTGGGACCAGTGAGTGAGTGAGTGAGATGGGTTTACTGCCGCTTTGGGCATTTTTGCAGGTATATTGTGGCGTGTCAGCTTGATGGGGGAAGAAAGCTCGAAGTGATGCAGGTCTTAGACGTTTACCACGTTGGTCAAACCCATGGGTATGGTGCAGATAAACCTTGAAACATAATCGGGGGAATATGTGATTCAACCCATGATCATATGATTCTGGCACACCTAAGGGATGTAACTCTGTACAGCGAATTACGCCTCCCTAAAAGACTGGGCACCTTGTGTTGTGCTGTTAGCCTAAAGGGACGCAGATCGTTTACTCAGGAACACGGGCATGGTGCTGACAGACCAAGGGTCATAATCACGGCGAGTCTGGGATTCGAATCCACAACCATCGGATCCTGGCAGCTAAAGGACGCAACTCTGTATATCGATTCGCTATAAACCACTGGGCCATCCGGTATATCATTATTGTCCTTTAACATCTCACAAATTAGTCCAGGCGCACATTACCAGCTGAACTGCAAAACCAGCACATCCAGCAAGAACAGCTCCAACCTTATCAACTCAATCATAATGCACTTCAACCAGACCCAAATACACACAGCATTACAGGATCATCAGAAATCTGTGGAGTCATCTTATCTTAATCAAAACTGCCACATTTGGCTTCACCAGAATATGGCATTACAGCATCATTACGAGGCCCTTGTATTCTCAGCGTTGGACCAGGCCTAGTTTAACATGCACCAGATCCGATCAAGTCCTTTCAGCACCTGCGAACCGTCCCGTTGCGTCACGAACGCCGATTATCGTCAATTATTCCCGACTGCGATCGCTTTATTCGTCCGGTGATCAACTACAACCATCGTTTTCAGAAGCATGTGTTGCCACACAGACCAATAACGCCCATGTTTTCATGAACGATTAAGCAATTTACGCAGAAATATAGAATCATTACGCCACGCGTGGCACTGTAGGTCTCTTGTAATGACGCTCTGGTTCCAGAACACCGCCATGTAATGAATTAGGGCACGCGGAACTCTTTATACTCCATTCATCACTCCATGGCAACAGTAGGGGGTGGTTGGGACACGTGTTACGTAACAGATGACGTATTACGATGTTTCGTATTCCATTAGGCCTCCCGTGAACAATGGCAATACATTACAGTGATGTATTGACGAGTTAATGTGACTGAGGGCATTTTCAAACTGATAAACTGGTTATTGAGAGGGTAGGGTAGCTAAACAATGGAAATAGGGACTATTAAATTGTTTGAAGTGTCCCAGGGTTAAGGAAAAGAAATCGAAAATTTGACCACCCGGTTCAACTACACACGTTCACAGCACAACCCTTCCAAAATGTTGGATCCTTTTTTTAGAAACTCAACATTAAGACAATGACAGTTGCACATGTGCAAAACAGGTACAAGCACGCATGCGCGTATGTGACCAAATGTGACGGTGGTCGCTTAAGGCAACAAAGTAACTATATCTTGAGCACAGGACAATACTTTCGTCCAGTGAGTGGTCACTAGTTTTGTCACGTTGAGTACATTTATATGCCGAAGAAGTACTATACAGTTTATAGAGGCGTGAAACTCTAGTGCTTAGGAAAACTCGTACATTTCAGCTTGACATGCCTTAAACAACACTTGGCTTTTCGAAACGTACAGTTTATATGAAATCGTGCAATCTGCTTTGAATGTGAATTGTGGAGTTTATGTCATCTGCAGTGTATAGTTCGTGGAAGTGTTTGCCTGTATTCTACGATAGATGGAGAACTTGTGCTAGTACTTTATCGTAAGATAAACGCACAGTCGTTCTCTCAACAGTACGGGGGCGGTCGGTTAGCCTAGTGACTAAAGCGTTCGCTCGTCACGCCGAAGACCCGGGTTCGATTCCGACATGGGTACAATGTGTGAAGCCCATTTCTGGTGTCCCCCGCCGTGATATTGCTGTAATATTGCAAAAAGCGGCGTAAAACCATACTCACTCACTCACTCAACAGTACGTTTATGTTCCGATAATAGACTGGCTCTCGTCCTCTATTATACATACGCGCATGTTAAGCATTAATTTGTTAATGATATTATATTTGCGGTATACGTGTTTAGACTGTTGGAATCAGTATGTATGCATTCGAAATCCAAGTATCTCTAATAAAGAAAAAAGGGACATTATGCAACAAAATCAAGAGCCATCTTTAAAGCTGAGCTTAAAGCTGAGCAAGTTGACTTAGATATTCAAGCAATATTACGGCGGGGGATGGCCTACTCCTACGCCGTGTAATGCACAGTCTTGTATTAATAATAGAATATAGTTATTGCAAGACTGAGCTGGATCATAAAACGCCAATGGAACACACTCGTAAAGTGCCGTTTGAAAGACGGCTAGAAAACGGCGAGACTGCAACATTGCGAACAAAAAAACGACATTCTGATATGTACCTTTTTCTGCGTTTCCACATCAATGACATTAATGTCTTCAGATGCTCGCCGAGTTTAAGGCGAGATTGATTAAAGATCCACGACTGAATTGATTTCAGCTTTGTCAGTCCTGCTACATACAAGGTTTCTTCAAAAGGAAAATTTTCCTGTGTTGATGTGTGGGGCTTGACAGCCTATCCTAGTCACATGTGACGTAGAGTATCCATCTTGTTCTAGCTAGTTATATAGGCCACCAGATAAGCCGAGCGGCCTACTGTTACGCTGTCGGGACTGACGGGTTCTGTCTGTGTAATGCGACGTTTGATAGACGCCGCTTCCTCCTCTACTCTCAGGTGGGCTATAGCTGTCGTGTCGGGCTTCAGTTTGGATTAGGCATTACTGGATCCAAACGAAATAGTTTGATGATCATGTAATGGAAAGCGTATATTAAGAACTGGAAAATCAAATAAGTATTTTAATTGTATGTTGTTTTACATCATATCATACGGCCTGTAATAATCGAGTCTCAGACAGTCGAACTGGTGGTTCATACCGGAGTACAATGGCATGTCAAATCGAGCCTGACGAATCGATCCAATTTAGTCGCCTCTGAAAACGTGCTTTGGACCTTTTATTACACGGGCCCCTCGAAGTTCAAGCTCGTTAATTCGCGCAGAGACCATAGTCAGTGAGGCAAAATCACTTTCAAGACAAAACGTTTCAGTTCATAAGTGGTTCCTAGAATCACCACTGATCCATGCCGTCTGGAATCAAAAATCAAATCCTAGATCTCACATTGTTTGGTGAGGTAAGATGGGTTTTAACGACGCCTTCTAGTTTACCTCGCTTTTATAACCACTTGCATGCACGTGTTCGTGTGACTGGTTGTACTAGTCCGGACTTATGCCGGTGTTATAGAGCTAGCCCACTGAGATGTACTATGTGGTTTTACATAGATACCCAACTCAGACATAGGATACTGACTCCGAACCGACCAATCCTTACTTATATGCTTAACGCCGAGCGCAAGGGAAACAACAAATGCCATCTTTTAACGTCTTTCAGTCTGACGCGGCAAAGGGATCGAACAACCGACATTCTTCTCTCCCGACAGACGTTCTGTCCACCACACCGCGAAGGCTCACATTGCAACAACCTAATCACATTTTAATCAGCCTATTTACACATTGAGTAACGTGGGAATACTTAGAATCCTACGGAGTAATTTGAGCTGGAAGTCATATCGCTCTTTTGTTAATATACATAATTCAACGTTTTGAGAAAATATCTGGATTTACGCTTCATATAGCAGTATCTGTGCAGTAGGCATACTCGGATAATACGTATGGGAACACATTTATAAAGGATATGTTAGGCAGGGTTACATCTAGACTGGAACAGGGAAGTGAATTATTTATCTCAGTGAAATATCATATATCATCAGCAGTATATTCTGAAGGCGTGAACGCGATAAATAAAAAATCAAATCTGAGCTCCCTACCACGCGACTACCCATGCATCAGAAAGGATTGGTATGCTGTGCGTGGATTGTGCACAGCATTCAAGGACTCATAAATGCTTTCCAAAACTTTGATGTTAGACATGTGGAGAACATTATCAAATTTGACGCATCAGTGACAAAGAATATGTCGATGCAATTCCCAATTTTGACTTGTACCATATGTTCCCGTGTTTGTTTTTCAGGTGAACAATTGACTTGCATTTGCATGTGTTTGTGACGGGTGTCAGGGTGGGGCAGGATACGCTCGCACGCACCTAGTATCATTACTATTTGATAGTGATTTATGAACACATGATAATAGCTTATCAATAGCTTTAAGGAGACATTTGGTTATGACTATGGACTTGTTTTTTGTCACTTGTATTTGCATGTTATGGTGAGGTGAAATGGGGTTTTACGTCGCGTCCAAGATTATTGCACTTATATAGCGACGTGCATGTACGTGTGTGTGTTTGTGTGGCTGCTTGTACTAGTTCGAACTGATGCCGATTTATAGTGCTAGCTCACTGAGATACCATGCAGCAGTTTAACATGAATACCCCGCTCAGACACAGTATACTGACTCCGAGCCGACCAGTCCTTGTTTTAGCCCCTTAATGCCGAGCGCCAGACTGGGTAACAACAAGTACCATCTTTTAACGTCTTTTGGTATGACGCGGCCGGGGATCAAACCCCGGACCTTCCGCTCTCAGGGCGGACGCTCTACCACTAGACCACGGAAGCGGTCTCTGCATGTCATGAGTGTTTCCTACGTGCAACATAGTCCTTGTTGCTGTACCAAGGCGACTTTAATTGATCGGTAGTCAGGCTCGATGACTCAGTTGACTGCGCGTGTCGACGTTGCTCATGGTATCAATCCCTAGTTTTGTCTGGCCATTACTCGATAATTCAGTCGTTATATAGCTGAAATATAGCTGTGTGAGGTGTTAAAATAGCAATAAAACAAAAGAAACTTATTCCGGTTTTCTCTCAAATGTTGCAGGTTGTTCCCAGATTTCCACCAATGGCCTGTACGGCTTGACGAGGCTCCACAACCTCCAGGAATTGGAGCTCACAAACTGCACCAGTGCCACCAAGACAGTCTGTGATTTCCTCAGGGACAACATGTTCCGCTGTGCAGTGCTCGACTGACAAGAGGGACAAGCTATGGCGTGAAGAATCTCTATTCCAGGACTTTGATTTGATTGACATTGTGGTGATGGTATACCTATTCTGTACAAGTTTACCATACTCTGTACCGGTCGTGATGTGTCCAGGTCAGTGTCCACCTGAAAGGTTGATGTTGTGGAGTGTAAGTTATGCTGGTGAAATCGTGACCCTTTCATCCAAGACTATGGATGCCCGTGTTGGATATAATGATTCACGTGTGTGAGAGCAATCTGATTCGCTTGGATGTGTATTAATGGTTTAGACGTCCGATGGAGCTATACAGACATTGTGTGTTGCCCTGCGTATTACAAGCGACCCGCTTCATCATGATCCCCTTCATCGTGGCCTCTTCCATCAAAGCCTCCTTCATCGCAGCCTCCTTCATCAAGACCTTCATCATAACCTGCTTGGCAGCCAACACCTTGTCCTCGTCTGTAATCATCATGCCGTGTAACTGGGTACCTGTCTTGCACACAAAGCATGAGCAATGGGTTTCACGAATTGAACGAATTTGTCCTCTGACACCTCTTGGAATGTCTGTTTCTGTCGTTGATATGAATAATGGTACAGGCTGTTCTTCTAAAACGTGTTTCTTTCGGTGAGTAGTTTAAGCCGAGCAACATGCCTAGCAGTGGCATTGTATCAGCATACAGCATTCCCTTAGGAATATACTTTCATGGGACTCCTCATCACCTCACGACGCTTCCCACAAGGGAAGACAACTCTCATTGTATTCATCAGGACCGTACATGAATGTTTCATGAACGACCAGGTGGTTTTGCTATTGTGATTCTGATTGGGATTGTATACATCGTCAATTCTTCACGGGTTTGCATACACTACGTTCCTCAAACACCCATGAATACATGCTGTTTTGAAATGTGTCAAATATTGGCTGTCTCTTTTAAATATGCAGGAATCCCGCTTACCCAAAACATGTTACAATATGATGCGCGTGTACGATGTACCTGGCCACGTAAATTGGGTAACGAACCTTAAAACTGTTATTTTTAGATTAGGATTTGGTGATGTCTGGTTCTTTCTTACCGTTCTTACGTCAACGGTTAAAAGACAACTTTTTTCAGGTTTGGCAAAGTGATTTATCTGATTGCCCCAAAAATGGCTTATCATGCACAGTTTAAAATATCCATTGAGAGTAGTATTACTGTAAATAAATTCAGAACCACATTGATTCGTTTTCGGCTTAGTTCTCACAATTTAGAAATTGAACGTGGACGACATTATAAAATTCCTCGTGAATTTAGAAAATGTAAAGTTTGTAACTTAAACCATATCGAAAATGAATATCCCTTTTTTGTTAATTTGTCCAGCTTATAGCCATCTTAGGCAAAGTTACATAAAACTAAATTTTACATCTTTCCAAATATTCTGAAGTTTAATACACTACTGTCATCGAGAGACCCTATTATCAATATGAATACAGCAAAGTACTTGTTTTATGGCAATACTGTAAGAACACAAATACCCCAACATGTACAATGTGCAATTATGTTAAAACTGCTTTTGTTAAAAAGCAATCAAATGTATTATATCTTATGCTGTTTGCACCTTAATTGTATTTCGTCTGTACAAAAAGGCCCGTGGAATACAAGTACTGAAATAAAGTGAAGGTATGAACCCCACCAGTGCCAACTATTGAAGCAATGAGTAGAACAGAAGGCCGCATGGCTGTGACACGTGTTGCACGAGGAATATTGCTGATGTGCGATGTAATCTGGATACTCATTAGTCAGCCCTAAGGGAACCACGTTATTCAGTCACGGGTAATGGAGGAACGACGTGTCCACTAAACCTGTTAAGACTTGACGATGGTTTGTATAAGGTTCCAAACAGTTTGCCTTAAGGTGTATTTTGTTGGCTGTGATATCAATCCTTTGTTTCATATTAAGTTGGCACGTATATGTAGTTATTTATGTCTACCTCAATTTCACGTCTACCTGTTCTAGTTGTTTCATTGTTTGTATCAGAATGTTCAGTTGTCGGTGTTGATAATACTGGAAAAACACCCCTTTAAGTGGGGTGTTTTCTAACGTATAAAATACGAATGTGTTTGTAAAATAAAATCTTTTAGTGGAATGTTGATACTCTTAACCGGATAAAGAAATACTACTTTAAACATAATCCCTTTAAATGGATGGTCGGCGCTGCTTCTTTATACAACACTCAGAACATTATTGTATCCAGAGCCTTAACAAGTGTAACATTTATGAATCTGAAACGTAATGAGACACGTTATGGAGAAAGTTTAATAGTAATCGAAAAGAGATATTCAGTCGTCATGGCAACTTTAATCCGATCTCTCAACCGCTCCTGCATTCAAAATTTATTGAAAAGGTAGGATTGCATTTAAACAATCAATGTAATGTTCGACTGAAAGATATACTTTCTCGTATGTGGCACACGTTTCAGTAATGTCGCGAACACTGTTGTTGTATTAGGAATCAATGCTAACGATAACCACACAGACTAAACATTAATTGTTTTACATGCATACATGCTAGAACAGGCGTAACTATATTTAGTTAGACTGTTAGGCAACCGATGAGAACATATACCTATATGTCCCTTATATAGTACCTTTGTACACACCTCAGTGGCCACAGGCACTGCACTTCCCTGTGCACGTTTTCTTCCCTTAGCCATGCCAGGATCCGGTGTTTTGGGTTAGAATTCTTCATTATCACCCTTGGTCCGTCAGCACCATTACAGGATTCGTGGGTTCCACCAAAGTGGTAAACGTCTAAGTCATGTTGTGACGTGGATCGACGTACACGACTTGGACCTGGCACTGATCGTGAACTAAAATACTGTTCAAAGCGGCGTTAAACCAAACTCACTCACTCATGACATTAAAATTGTTTTTACACGTCCCTTCCTTCCTCGCAGTGCGGCGTAAAACAATGCTTGTTTTATTCAAAACAAATTCTCGCAGACTGACAGAAAATCGAATGGCGCAATCCCTGATGGAGATACTTCTCTGTAGGAAGAATCAATATGCCCTAATTAGAATATACTCAAGCTCTTAAATCCTCATGGCACTTGCTAACTGTACAAAGTGACGGACTCTCGTATTTGATAATTCAGAATATTATACAGCTATTTGGTAGAAAATTGCGGAGAAGCTTTCTAAACCAATATGGTAGACCGAACATAAACGCAGTTTTTAATAATATTGAAAAGTTAAATTGTTAGTTTTTGTATTTTGTTGTGTTAACGAGTGCGTAGCCGTGATGATTGACGTTGAGCTGTGTTAACTAGAGCGCCGTGTTGACTGAAGTGCACCTGTGTTAACTAGAGCGCCGTGTTGACTGAACTGCATCCGTGTTTACAAGAGCAAAAGTGTGTCGACTGAAGCACGGGTGTATTGAGATGATGCGTTTATATTGTGGCTGCCTCCACACCAGATACTGGAAGATGCTCAATACAGCTGGTGAACAAAGCTCTTTCAAGGTTTATGATTGGATCATGAATCGTAGTTTTTAGCAGGTCGTAATCTCTAAGGTTTCCGGTGAAGAGTATTGGTTACCATTGTTTCAATGGGGATTATTTTAGTTCAGTTATCTGTTTTTCTCTACTGTAAACACCGCCTTTTAATGTTTTGCTGTTACGAGTAAGAAGGAATGGCAATAGACATTCTTTAGTATTTCTTTCTCCTGTCTTGAGAGTTCTATAAACTGCTGATGTTGGCAAGTGTCGTTGCGTTTAACAATTGCGTGAGTGGGTGGGTTTAGCGCCGCTTTGAACAGTATTCCAGTTACATCACGGCTGGCTGCTTAATTAGGAAGGAATGCCCGAAATGACATGTCTCAGAACTTTTACCACTTTGGTGAAACCCATGAGCAAGGGTATGGCGCCGACAAACCTAGAAACATAATCAGGTCGAACCGATTCGAATTCACGATCATAGGTTTCTGGCGTGCCCAAGGGACTCCGTCGTGGAAATTCTGTTTACAGATAGGGCTGAGATTATTCATGCAAAGGCTCTGTTTCAGTTTTTATAGGCCTTGTAGAGGAGGTGTCGAAAATGTAATAGTTTGCGACTGACGGACAACGCGCCATGACATGAACTAACTTGACTTTCCGTCAACAGAGCTATATCGTAATTGGATAACAACAATGGCCAGTCATTATGAATAGTATGATAGTTGCGCTTGAAGATGCTATTGTTATGTCGCGGTGACAACTAGGTGGGATGAACGCCCGAAAGTCCGAAGTAATTTCTTAGACGTTTACCACTTCAGATGAACTCAACAACCATGCCATGCTTGAGGGGAGCAACTCTGCACACCTAATTGCGGCGCCTTAGACAACTTGGCCATCCGTGTCCCCTTATCAAAATGAGAGCAATGCCGTATGCAGATATTTCGTGGATTGTATGGAGACCGCCATGAATTCGAAGGTGAATTCTTCCATTGTTGTCGACACTAATTGCGAAGCGTCCCTTATTTGTGCTAGGATAGTCGTGCATGGTCGTGCATCCGAATCCCACATTTGCTTCAAAAATTATCCTCAGTTAAAGGTGCAGAAATTCACTGATTCTTGTTCTTTTATCGTACCAGGATCCACTGATCATGCGTTCGAATCCAATACTCACTCCTGATCCTTGATCTGTGTGCGCCATACCCGTGCTCACTGAATAGATGAACGTCGGCAACATTGTTTACTTCGGGCTTTCCTTCTCGACAATCGCTGCCATTTCGTAAAACAACTGAAATACTGTTCGCATCTGCGTTAAACCGTAACCACTCACTGATTTTCGGATTTACAATTAGAAAGTCCTGAATAATCCAACACATCAAAACTAAGATGATGATTAAAGTTAAAAATAAGATGATTGAAAAATTAATGTAATAATGAATTCCGTCTATTTCAGAGTCAAATTATTGGCTACAGACGCATTAGCGATGATGCACTAATGTAAATGATGAATAAGAATAGCCAGTTATCTGGTGATGGCGTCAGCTGGTAATCTGTTACATGTGTGAAGACACCTGGAATAGAACTTTTGTCCAAAAAATATGGTAATCGATGACGTCTGTGTTGATTACATTCAGGGATTTACCGGACGCGAAATCTTGCAATTTACACGCATACAATTTGAAAACGGACGCAAAATATAAACAGATTGCATCCAATACATGTTTGGAAATGAATGCTGCTATTTCATAATTTGGTAGTACTTAAATATTAATTTCCGAACGTAATCATTCAAATATTCCATACAGACACATGCTTCACGATCTTCGAGCGCCAGCATGTTTACATTAAAAGAACTCCATATCTATTTAAAAGTAACAGCCTGTGAGCATGCGCAAGCTTACGTCACTTGTGTAAGAGTCTTTGTATTTACTTTGGGTGATTTCGCTTGGACCCCCGTTTTTTAACCTGACATTCCTACAATTAAATTAATTAACCCAGGAAAATCTCTGGATTAAAATAATTTCTGAATTCCTGAGACCTAATAGCAACACATATATCATTATATAAATCAAATCTAGTCCGTCATACAGACGCTGAAACAAATATATCCAATACAGCAAGTCTACAGTATTTGGCAAGTCTATATTATTGCAGTATCAGGCATCTGAAAATTGTTGCAGTATCAGGTATCTGAAAATGAAGAAAATCTCTGGGATCCTTTTTATTATATTTTACAACTATGATTTAACAATTATCTTTTTCTGTAAAATGTTCTTTTCAGAGACTAGATTTTAGAATCAAATTAAACCATAATCTTTTCAAACTGTGTGTTTATCACCCGAAACAATTTGAGTCGAATTTTACGAGTGTCAGAGATCGAGACACGTCCTGCATGGGGCCCGTTACCCAAAGTGAATTTAACGTTAAGTTTGTGTTAAGGCATTGGACTTTCGATTTTAGCGGTTGAAACTTCAAATTTACACGATATATACACGTACAGTAAACAACAACTTTGGGACACAAAATGTACACATTAAAAGGCATTATTGTATTGGTAAAGAAAATATATGTGCGCCTCCGATCGTAGCTGCACTGTGCTGCCTCGCCCTGTCTTTACTTCTAATCTGTGAACCCGTGGAGCGAGTGAGTGAAATAGGTTTTTCTCTCTGTATTACAGTTATATCACGGTGATCTACAAACAGTCGAGTATGGACCAGACTGTGGTTGATAGCCCGAGCAAAGGTCCTAATTTCAATCGTCTCGGATGTACGAGGCGTTATCCCCTGGGCAAGCAGTGCTCCGCTTCTCATTCAGATAGCCTTGTGGTTAAAGTGTTGCTCACTGCGTGAAGTATATTTTTATCTCCAGTCGTATATGATTTATTATAGCTAAAATGGATAGAATTATCGTTAAACCGCCCGCATGTTATCAGAAATGAGCGGTCCACTGTAACTTGATAATGTCCTCATATTGTTTGACGACGGGCCATTATCACGCCCGTTGTTAGGTGACGTCATCTGGTTTGTTCTGTGACGTTTCCATAAAAGTGGGTCAGTGACATTCATTGTGTGTTGATTGCAGTAAATGATTCAAAACCCATATTGTTGTTTATTTCTACTTGATAACAAATTCTAACCATTTCAGCTATAATAACCGTAATTTTTCAGGGCATTACCATTTGCAGAAGCCGTCGCACTTTTCAACTCCTTCGTCGGGCAGTTAATGAAAGACTTCGGGCAAATGATAATGCCCTGAAAAATAACTTTACCCTTATAATATTGCTTAAGGAAACCTCATTCACTATTATATTATCAACGTGTGTCATAGTCAACTTTGTTTGTAACGATGTCATAAGGTATAGTTATAAGATTCTCCTTTGAGGAATTCTAAAGTATCCGAAATTCAAGGCTTGAAATCGGAGTTAGTTTTCCCTGGTACGACTTCGTAGAAACCGATGTCTCGGTAGGTACGACTTCCCTATTACAAAAGTTTGGTACATACGAATTAGTTTAAGCCGAACCGAAGTTGTTCCCGAATTTTAGGTAGATTTAACTTCGTTATTGACGAAGTTTCGACAGGCACGACGACGCCGTTGCCGAAGTTTCAACAGAAACGACGCTGTTGCTGAAGAGTCTGTAGATACCACTTCGTTATAACCGACGCTGACTTATTATGATATGAGAAGGAAGTGCCATTAGAACGGAACTGCTAATATCGACAATTAAAGGTTGTGTTTCTGCATTCAATGCCCTGGGCCCGTCCCACAAGGCGACCGTAGGGCTGTCATAAGTCTATGATAAAGTGTGGGAGTTACGATCACCTTAGTGCTACAGTCGCTTTGTAGAACGGGGCCCAGGGTTCATCTCATGTGCTTCAGTTGATGTTCCGTGAGTTTAACCACATGTTTGACAGGTTGTTTTGTTTATGTTTATTTAAGCATATACTGTTGTTGATTGTTTGTTCGATGTGGACACTGTGTTACTCCTGTGCATTCCTATACAGAAATCCTCTCATCTGATTCTCGCAACATCAGGTATTCCACTATCAGTTATAGTTACCATTTCATTTTCTGCTTTATGTAATTTTGAAAGTTAACACTCTACGTAAAATAAAATATTCAAATACATGCATTTATATATCGCCGGTGTCTTTTTCATCTTGGAACAACTCAAGGAATGGAATAGAATGCGTCATATTCAGACGTCACGGGAAACAGGCCGTCAAAAGCAGTTATGGATGTGACCTGTCTTAAAAAAAGGAAGGAAATTCAACGTGACGTGACTATCATGTGAAACATGCCTCCAAGGAAACATGACATAACACCTGAAACATGACAGAACACCTGAAACATGACATAACACCTGAAACATGACATAACATCTGAAACATGACATTACACCTGAAACATGACGTAGCACCTGAAACATAACATAACACCTGACACATGACATAACACCTTAAACAGGACATAGCACCTGAAACATGACATAACACCTGAAACATGACATAACACCTGAAACATGACATAACACCTGAAACATGACATAGCACTTGAAACATGACATAACACCTGAAACATGACATAGCACTTGAAACATGACATAACACCTGAAACAGGGCATAGCACCTGAAACATGACATAACACCTGAAACATGACATAACACCTGAAACATGACATAGCACTTGAAACATGACATAACACCTGAAACATGACATAGCACCTGACACATGACATAACACCTGAAACATGACATAGGACCTAAAACATGACATATCAACTTAAACTTGATGCTTCACCTGAACTATAGTATCTGCAAAACTTCGCGGCACATTGCTATGCCTACGAACGGCTAGGGCGTATTGGCTTAGCAAATACAGTCGAATAAATTTCAACAGTGAGAGTAAAACTGCATAGATGATCAACATAAATTCATGTTCCGACACAAAGTGTATATACCGCCGAAACAGGGAAAGGATGCTCTTATTGAAGATTACAATTTTTTTTATGTAAACATGCAAATATTCGTAGAATGTAATACAGGGGAGTATCCAACTAAATCTGTTCTGGTACTGCGATGTCGACACAAAACTGGGTTCTGTTTCACAAACCGATCTTAGTGCTACGACTATCCCAAGCCAATGTTACAATGTGGGCGTTACGATCACTACAGCGCGACGCAAGCGGTCTGCGGAACGGGACCCTGTACCGTGTACCAGTTTGCATTTCGGCCTTCAGCCTCCAGAGTATGCAAGACGCATATTTCCCCCACTATGTTGCAGAGAAATAAGTCAATAATTTGAATCCCATTGAGACCTTTTAGAGCTCCTATTTTTTACATAATTGTTTTTATAACGTTTCGATAACGACTGAAACGTATGACGTAATTTACCTCGCTGTGGGCATGTATTATCGGGCGAAACGATCGACTTGACGTAGGCACCGTCAGTATTATCATTACATCGATAACACAACTCTATTTGAGTCTCATGGGACTGGCAATATACATAGTGACCCAATAATTATCCAATATTTACAAACAATCAACCAAAGGCTGTTTCATAAGCGTTTACTTACATAGCTCGCATTTCATCAGTCGCTTATGTTACGCTGACCAGCCAATTCGAGTGGTTGTTTTGGGTCACATGACCTGTGCTCGAGCAGTGCTAGTCGCCACCCTGAGGATACCAATATTAATGCCAGGAATCATCAAGGGAGGGTTCGAGTTGATTAAATACTTATTGCCTTCCAGATAATTTGTAAGGGGAAACTCTTGGAAGAGGTATTGACCAATTTCGCTTCTAGGTCACTTAAGGTTTTATACCATGAGGGGGAAAACAAAGCTGCCAATAAGCCAAATCCTGGACTCGAAAATGATTAGAATATTGAAAATTTATACACGCGCAAAATATACCACACATACAGTAAAAAATAATAATACGCTTTAACAAAAGTATGGGATTTGGGGAAACCAGTTAAAATTTCCAAAATCGTAAGAGATATTAGTTTCTAGTAATAGTTGTATAATGAGGAACGAATTGGGAACTACAACCAGTAGTGAAGTATGACAGTAGACGTTGTGGCCGTCAACGATTTTGTAGGACGTTTGGGGTCAGATGAGAAATTTCAAAGTTGACGTTTTTGGATTAGTAGTGCGTAATGCCACCACAAGCCGTACAACATTCATTCACTCGACGATGCATACTGTGTTAGAGTCTCGCAATGGCGATTTGAGGGAGCCTACACCGCTCCTCTTGCAGCGCCTGGCCAAGTTCAGCCATTGTGGTCGGCGGCCTTTGACGCTGACGCATACGTCTTCCTATTATGTCCCAGACGTGTTCAATGGGTGGAAGGTCCGGGCTCATTGCTGGCCATGGAATTCTATGGATGTCGTGTTGCTGGAGGTGAGCATTGGCGATTCGTGCACCGTAAGCACGGCACTGTCATCCTGAAAGACAAAAACGTCGGCCCACACGCCTTGGAAACGGGACAACAAAAGGTGTCAGTATGTGTCCCGAGTGCCCAGTCCAGTGACCCTTTCTTTCACAATGTGGAGTGGGGTTCGGTCAGTCATAGTGATGCCAACATGACGTAGCACCTGAAACATAACATAACACCTGACACATGACATAACACCTTAAACAGGACATAGCACCTGAAACATGACATAACACCTGAAACATGACATAACACCTGAAACATGACATAACACCTGAAACATGACATAGCACTTGAAACATGACATAACACCTGAAACATGACATAGCACTTGAAACATGACATAACACCTGAAACAGGGCATAGCACCTGAAACATGACATAACACCTGAAACATGACATAACACCTGAAACATGACATAGCACTTGAAACATGACATAACACCTGAAACATGACATAGCACCTGACACATGACATAACACCTGAAACATGACATAGGACCTAAAACATGACATATCAACTTAAACTTGATGCTTCACCTGAACTATAGTATCTGCAAAACTTCGCGGCACATTGCTATGCCTACGAACGGCTAGGGCGTATTGGCTTAGCAAATACAGTCGAATAAATTTCAACAGTGAGAGTAAAACTGCATAGATGATCAACATAAATTCATGTTCCGACACAAAGTGTATATACCGCCGAAACAGGGAAAGGATGCTCTTATTGAAGATTACAATTTTTTTTATGTAAACATGCAAATATTCGTAGAATGTAATACAGGGGAGTATCCAACTAAATCTGTTCTGGTACTGCGATGTCGACACAAAACTGGGTTCTGTTTCACAAACCGATCTTAGTGCTACGACTATCCCAAGCCAATGTTACAATGTGGGCGTTACGATCACTACAGCGCGACGCAAGCGGTCTGCGGAACGGGACCCTGTACCGTGTACCAGTTTGCATTTCGGCCTTCAGCCTCCAGAGTATGCAAGACGCATATTTCCCCCACTATGTTGCAGAGAAATAAGTCAATAATTTGAATCCCATTGAGACCTTTTAGAGCTCCTATTTTTTACATAATTGTTTTTATAACGTTTCGATAACGACTGAAACGTATGACGTAATTTACCTCGCTGTGGGCATGTATTATCGGGCGAAACGATCGACTTGACGTAGGCACCGTCAGTATTATCATTACATCGATAACACAACTCTATTTGAGTCTCATGGGACTGGCAATATACATAGTGACCCAATAATTATCCAATATTTACAAACAATCAACCAAAGGCTGTTTCATAAGCGTTTACTTACATAGCTCGCATTTCATCAGTCGCTTATGTTACGCTGACCAGCCAATTCGAGTGGTTGTTTTGGGTCACATGACCTGTGCTCGAGCAGTGCTAGTCGCCACCCTGAGGATACCAATATTAATGCCAGGAATCATCAAGGGAGGGTTCGAGTTGATTAAATACTTATTGCCTTCCAGATAATTTGTAAGGGGAAACTCTTGGAAGAGGTATTGACCAATTTCGCTTCTAGGTCACTTAAGGTTTTATACCATGAGGGGGAAAACAAAGCTGCCAATAAGCCAAATCCTGGACTCGAAAATGATTAGAATATTGAAAATTTATACACGCGCAAAATATACCACACATACAGTAAAAAATAATAATACGCTTTAACAAAAGTATGGGATTTGGGGAAACCAGTTAAAATTTCCAAAATCGTAAGAGATATTAGTTTCTAGTAATAGTTGTATAATGAGGAACGAATTGGGAACTACAACCAGTAGTGAAGTATGACAGTAGACGTTGTGGCCGTCAACGATTTTGTAGGACGTTTGGGGTCAGATGAGAAATTTCAAAGTTGACGTTTTTGGATTAGTAGTGCGTAATGCCACCACAAGCCGTACAACATTCATTCACTCGACGATGCATACTGTGTTAGAGTCTCGCAATGGCGATTCGAGGGAGCCTACACCGCTCCTCTTGCAGCGCCTGGCCAAGTTCAGCCATTGTGGTCGGCGGCCTTTGACGCTGACGCATACGTCTTCCTATTATGTCCCAGACGTGTTCAATGGGTGGAAGGTCCGGGCTCATTGCTGGCCATGGAATTCTATGGATGTCGTGTTGCTGGAGGTGAGCATTGGCGATTCGTGCACCGTAAGCACGGCACTGTCATCCTGAAAGACAAAAACGTCGGCCCACACGCCTTGGAAACGGGACAACAAAAGGTGTCAGTATGTGTCCCGAGTGCCCAGTCCAGTGACCCTTTCTTTCACAATGTGGAGTGGGGTTCGGTCAGTCATAGTGATGCCAAACCACCCCCACCCCCACCCCCACCCCCCACCATAACCGATCCACCGCCAAATCAGTCATGAGGTCTGCGGTTGACATTGGCTTGACCTTCATTTCGACGTGGCCAGACACGACCACACTTATCAAGGAAGTCCAAATTCTAGGTCACTTAAGGTTTTATAACATGAGGGGGAAAACAATAAGCCAATAAGCCAAATCCTGGACTCGAAAATTATTTGAATGCTAAATATGCATAAACGCGCAAAATATACCACACACACAAAAAAATAAAATAATACTCTTTAACAAGAGCAGGGGATTTTTGGAAACAAGTTAAAATTTCCAAAAGAGATATTAAGAGATATTAGTTTCCAATAGTTGTATGATAAGGAACGAATTGGAAACATATTACAACCGGTAGTGAAGTATGACAGTAGATGTTGTGACCGCCAAATCAGTCATGAGGTCTGCGGTTGACATTAGCTTGACCTTCATTTCGACGTGGCCAGACGGGACCACGCTTATCAAGGAGGTGCAATTTAATCGGGACTCATGACACGAAAATCACAAAACATGACACGTGACCAGCGATGATTACCTCAGTTTCGCTTTCACCATTGATGTCTGTTGGCGATATGTTGTCAACATTTAGGGTTTGTTGGTGCCCGTTCTATATTCTGCTAATCACAGACTGTGAAACCCTGAACCTATGGCCACTGCGCGCTGTTTTCCAGATTGTTGCAAGTTTCCAGCATGTCAATAGAAATAGCCCCTAGACGCTACGCTCATTGCTGACGCCGCACCTCATCGCTAGATATACAGACAGGTTCTACAGACATAAACGTATAGGTGGTATTGAAACATCAGGAGTATATACTGGCAGCTGTATATATACCGAAAGTGTTCTAAGATGGTATGGAGAAATTTATATTTTCTGTTTTATTACGAGAGGCTATATTGGCTACTGCTGTGTTGATTGTTCGATATAGTGTAATTTGTGTCTGGCAAATAAACATATCATAACGTATTTACAAATACCAGCAACACTGCGGTTGATAAATGTGGTAATTACGCCCCCCGCCAAAAACGAACAATAAACTATTCGTCAATAAGTCATTAAGGATATAAATACACTTAAATTTGGGCTATTCGGGGACGTATGACTGTTCAATATGGAGAGGCAGTAGATTGAGAGCTCTGGAAAGGTCCCTACATCGGCCATTCACATGTATCGATTCAGGACTGTCGGCGCCTGCCCCGACAACAAACATTTTATTACAACCACGTCTTCGACTTGCTAGTTTTAATCATTGCAAAAACTTTCCATTTTCGTTTTGGGAAATATATATGTCTGTCTAGCTACTATAAAAGATATGTTTTTATCGATTCTCGCACAGATGATGTGGAATTCCTCTCTAGATTCGCCCGAGGCCTGTGTTGAAACGCACATCAAAGATCCAATGAACTATTTCCGACTTCTGAAGCGGATAGGTTGGTTCCAACGTTAATCTCTCCCCAACCACATATACTTATTTGATGTGACAAATTCGAAGCACTGGCCCTCCTTTGCTCTTCAATGCCATCAAATGATGTTGGTGGCAGCTGTTCGTCATCTGACTTCATCACAGTGATGTTAGGTAGTTCATGTTAGTTCCTGCAGAAATATTAAATGCACAGTTTTTGTCACTAAACTGAAAAATGTGTACGTGAGGTCGGCTAGCCTAACGGTTATTGGGTTCGCCTGTCACGCTTTAAGCCTTGGTTCTAAAATATGTACAGTCTGTTCTGTTCGTGTTGTAGATTGGACGTGTTGTCGTATGGAAGATGAAGATTGGACGTGTTGTCGTATGGAAGATGTAGATTGGACGTGTTGTACGTGTTGTCGTATGGAGGATGTAGATTGGACGTGTTGTCGTATGGAAGATGTAGATTGGACGTCCTGTACGTGTTGTCGTATGGAAGATGTAGATTGGACGTGTTGTACGTGTTGTCGTATGGAGGATGTAGATTGGACGTGTTGTCGTATGGAAGATGTAGATTGGACGTGTTGTCGTATGGAAGATGTAGATTGAACGTGTTGTCGTATGGAAGATGTAGATTGGACGTGTTGTCGTCAGGAAGATGAAGATTGAACGTGTTGTCGTATGAAAGATGTAGATTGGACGTGTTGTCGTATGGAAGATGAAGATTGGACGTGTTGTCGTATGGAAGATGAAGATTGGACGTGTTGTCGTATGGAAGATGTAGATTGGACGTGTTGTCGTCAGGAGGATGAAGATTGGACGTGTTGTCGTATGAAAGATGTAGATTGGACGTGTTGTCGTATGGAAGATATAGATTGGACGTGTTGTCGTATGGAAGATGAAGATTGGACGTGTTGTCGTATGGAAGATGTAGATTGGATGTGTTGTCGTATGGAAGATATAGATTGGACGTGTTGTCGTATGGAACATATAGATTGGACGTGTTGTCGTATGGAAGATGTAGATTGGACGTGTTGTCGTATGGAACATATAGATTGGACGTGTTGTCGTATGGAAGATGTAGATTGGACGTGTTGTCGTATGGAACATATAGATTGGACGTGTTGTCGTATGGAAGATGTAGATTGGACGTGTTGTCGTATGGAAGATGTAGATTGGATGTGTTGTCGTATGGAAGATATAGATTGGACGTGTTGTCGTATGGAACATATAGATTGGACGTGTTGTCGTATGGAAGATGTAGATTGGACGTGTTGTCGTATGGAACATATAGATTGGACGTGTTGTCGTACGCAAGATGTAGATTGGACGTGTTGGACGTGTTGGACGTGTTGTCGTATGGAAGATGTAGATTGGACGTATGAAAGATGTAGATTGGACGTGTTGTCGTATGGAAGATGAAGATTGGACGTGTTGTCGTATGGAAGATGTAGATTGGACGTGTTGTCGTACGGAAGATGTAGATTGGACGTGTTGGACGTGTTGTCGTATGTAAGATATAGATTGGACGTGTTGTCGTACGGAAGATGTAGATTGGACGTGTTGGACGTGTTGTCGTATGGAAGATATAGATCGGACGTGTTGTCGTATGAAAGATGTAGATTGGACGTGTTGTCGTATGGAAGATGAAGATTGGACGTGTTGTCGTATGGAAGATGTAGATTGGACGTGTTGTCGTATGGAAGATATAGATTGGACGTGTTGTCGTATGGAAGATGTAGATTGGACGTGTTGTCGTATGGAAGATGTAGATTGGACGTGTTGTCGTATGGAAGATGTAGATTGGACGTGTTGTCGTATGGAAGATATAGATTGGACGTGTTGTCGTATGGAAGATGTAGATTGGACGTGTTGTCGTATGAAAGATATAGATTGGACGTGTTGTCGTATGGAAGATGAAGATTGGACGTGTTGTCGTATGGAAGATGTAGATTGGACGTGTTGTCGTATGTAAGATATAGATTGGACGTGTTGTCGTACGGAAGATGTAGATTGGACGTGTTGGACGTGTTGTCGTATGGAAGATATAGATCGGACGTGTTGTCGTATGAAAGATGTAGATTGGACGTGTTGTCGTATGGAAGATGAAGATTGGACGTGTTGTCGTATGGAAGATGTAGATTGGACGTGTTGTCGTATGGAAGATATAGATTGGACGTGTTGTCGTATGGAAGATGTAGATTGGACGTGTTGTCGTATGGAAGATGTAGATTGGACGTGTTGTCGTATGGAAGATATAGATTGGACGTGTTGTCGTATGGAAGATGTAGATTGGACGTGTTGTCGTATGAAAGATATAGATTGGACGTGTTGTCGTACGGATGATGTAGATTGGACGTGTTGTCGTATGGAAGATGTAGATTGGACGTGTTGTCGTACGGAAGATGTAGATTGGACGTGTTGGACGTGTTGTCGTATGGAAGATGTAGATTTGACGTGTTGGACGTATTGTCGTACGGATGATGTAGATTGGACGTGTTGTCGTATGGAAGATGTAGATTGGACGTGTTGTCGTATGGAAGATGTAGATTGGACGTGTTGTACGTGTTGTCGTATGGAAGATGTAGATTTGACGTGTTGTCGTATGGAAGATGTAGATTGGACGTGTTGTCGTATGGAAGATGTAGATTGGACGTGTTGTCGTATGGAAGATGTAGATTGGACGTGTTGTACGTGTTGTCGTATGGAAGATGTAGATTGGACGTGTTGTCGTATGGAAGATGTAGATTGGACGTGTTGGACGTGTTGTCGTACGGATGATGTAGATTGGACGTGTTGTCGTATGGAAGATGTAGATTGGACGTGTTGTCGTATGGAAGATGTAGATTGGACGTGTTGTACGTGTTGTCGTATGGAAGATGTAGATTTGACGTGTTGTACGTATTGTCGTATGGAAGATGTCGATTGGATGTGTTGTACGTATTGTCGTATGGAAGATGTAGATTTGACGTGTTGTACGTATTGTCGTATGGAAGATGTCGATTGGACGTATTGTACGTATTGTCGTATGGAAGATGTAGATTGGACATGTTGGACGTGTTGTCGTACGGAAGATGTCGATTGGACGTGTTGTCGTATGGAAGATGTAGATTGGACGAGTTGTCGTATGGAAGATATAGATTGGACGTGTTGTCGTATGGAAGATATAGATTTGACGTGTTGTCGTATGGAAGATGTCGATTGGACGTGGTGGACGTGTTGTCGTATGAAAGATGTAGATTGGACGTGTTGTCGTACGGAAGATGTCGATTGGACGTGTTGTCGTACGGAAGATGTAGATTGGACGTGTTGTCGTATGGAAGATGTAGATTGGACGTGTTGTCGTATGGAAGATGTAGATTGGACGTGTTGTCGTACGGAAGATGTCGATTGGACGTGTTGGACGTGTTGTCGTACGGAAGATGTAGATTGGACGTGTTGTCGTACGGATGATGTAGATTGGACGTGTTGTCGTATGGAAGATGTAGATTGGACGTGTTGTCGTATGGAAGATGTAGATTGGACGTGTTGTCGTACGGAAGATGTAGATTGGACGTGTTGTCGTACGGAAGATGTAGATTGGACGTGTTGTCGTACGGATGATGTAGATTGGACGTGTTGTCGTACGGATGATGTAGATTGGACGTGTTGTCGTACGGATGATGTAGATTGGACGTGTTGTACGTGTTGGACGTGTTGTCGTATGGAAGATGTAGATTGGACGTGTTGTCGTATGGAAGATGTAGATTGGACGTGTTGTCGTATGGAAGATGTAGATTGGACGTGTTGTCGTATTGTCGTATGGAAGATGTAGATTGGACGTGTTGTACGTGTTGTCGTATGGAAGATTTAGATTGGACGTCCTGTACGTGTTGTCGTACGGAAGATGTAGATTGGACGTGTTGTACGTGTTGTCGTATGGAAGATGTAGATTGGACGTGTTGTCGTATGGAAGATGTAGATTGGACGTGTGAGCAGATCGAAGACGTAAATTGATGTGTGATGAGCCCGAAGGCGTACTTTAATGTGTTACACACGTACTGTTGTATGATCGACCAGCACTCTACCGAAACAATTCGGAGATATTCTAGATGTATCTAGATGTCTAGTGCCTGTACCATGTATCACCCTTGCAGTTGTCACAGTGTCTTCCTTGACCAATATTGTGGAACTCAATTATCGGGAGTATGAACCACAATGAACTGAAAATACGGACAGCAGTCCGAAGGGGAATAACAGCAAGTAGTCCGAATGAGTCCCCTTGGAACCTGAAGTCGTCACTGGGCGTTCATTATAGATATTCAACGCGCTCAAATTTATCGATAATGCCAATGCTGCACTGTAAACGGGGATCCCCTTCCGACGCCGTAAGTTAAGTGATTTACAGACATTCTTTTTCAACCGTGGGTCGACGTTCCACAAATCCTTCCCCAAAATACCATGAAGCTGCACTTGTCAAAGAAGTCTATTTCAGGAACGAATCACAAGAAACGTACAGGCTGCGACAAGATTTACTGAGAATACAACGTTGAACGCAGTCGTTGATTAGACGAAGTGAAAAGACCTCACCAAAGAATACCCAATATAGCTCAGGCCAAAATTGTCGGAAACCGGGGCGAAACGAAGTCTATTTTTGAGCAGTTGTATGGATGAGCACTGTTGATAAGATTCGGGATCTCAGTGGCGATGGCCGCGTCCAGTAATGCAATGATTGAGAACGTAATCAATTAGTTCTTGTCATTCTGCATGGCATGTAGGACAGGAGAAACCGGATTGGGAGGACGTTTTGTCCATTTGCACTCTTGACTAACAATAATAATACATGATAACATCCCGTGGATAAATCAAATTAAATCTTTCTTTTTGCAAATTTGCCTGGGCTTTTATGCAGCTTTCGTTACGGCTGGCCAAAGTGAAACCCAGTTTATCCATTTGCAACGAGCAAATCTTTGTACCGTGGACACATGTCAATGTAATTCGCTTAATTGATGGCTTCAGTGTACAATCAAAGTAGTTATTTAATAAACAGATGTACGTGCAATTGGAAAATGTGCTTCCAGGCAAGATTGGAGAATGGTGAGTAACAGATCGATGGTACAAGAAAGTGGAATTGTCTGATAGTTGGGGAGACAGCTCGACATGGTAAGGGGTGAGTCACCATCACTCCGGACTGTTCGGTGCTAATACTTCATCCCGGGGCCTTATCGTCGGTTGTATCATTTTCAATTAATTTCTTTCGCGGTTTTAGGGATGTGACGATGGGGTGTGTCAAATTGCTTTCATGTGCTTTTATGCGACGTCGGGGAACTATTCTGGCAAGCGATCAGAATTTCGCCACACTGTTTCAAGCGTTATGTGTAACGTCACCACAACAATTTTCACTTCACCGTGGTCTCAACGGAGACGACTTAAAAGGGATCGGGGTGTCACTGACTCGTTTCATATTGTTTCACAATAAAACATATTAATGTGCTGAATCTGCAATTAATATTTGTTTCTTTATCCATTTACATGTACATCTATATCCTACACGACCAGATGGCGGTCGCGTATTTAGATCAAGCAATATGCTTCATCAGGGACTGTACCAGTTTGCAGTAAATTGATTGTTATTGTTTAATGTTGCCCATAAACACTATTTATCCATAGATGTCAAATTACTTTAGAGTTCGTAGAGAAAGGAATTCCATGTATGAATATGTCACTTAGATTCCGTGGTAATTACTACTGCTGCCGATTCTCGTCATACTACAACGACCATACTACTACAATTTCTGTTACTGCATGTATTGTACTGTTACTGCTGCTACAACACATAATAATGACAAAGTAGACACAATGAAAAGGACGTTGTCAAGTTAGACTTTCCTGCTTGACAACGGTATAAGGATCTATACCGAAACGTCGCCTTTACAGTAATTAAAGAAGTTGTTATCCATAAATTCTGTCTACTTTGTCATCCGTCAACTTCTAAGTAATGCCTGTCAAACAATTCAACACATATGACTCCCACTACTTTAATCTATACTTCTGCTAATTACTAATAATTGTCGCGCTTTAACATCGAATGTTCGTGAACCTGCACAAAACCAATGCACCCTAAATGCACCAAATACCTTATCATAGCGCAAAACCACTTCACTAGGACTACTATTTTGACACCAATATAACCACTACATCTACTTATAACAACACGGTAACGACTGTTTCTAGTATTTAGACTACCGTTGTTTACCTATTTGCTTGGATGTATTGCCCTAACCTTGTTTGTTGACACTCAGGTCTCCGCGGACATTGCCATTAACAACATAAACAACGCGTACTGCAACGTCAAACTTCGTGCATACACAGAACATCCTAATCCAAGCGGATGTTGTATTCTTGGGATTCCACGCGAGGTCAAACGCTGCCTGCTATCGTTCATCTGACCAATCACAAGCTGTCAAAACAAATTGCAGTCGGCCGTTCACAACAAAGCCTGAAGTGACAGCCCGCATAAACATTGGCCGAAGGGCATTGACCTCCATGATTTGTCAGGAAATGAGCATGCGGGGGCGAGCACCGTCATTAAGTAGGGTTTTTACGGTAATATATGTGACAATATGTCATGGCACACTGTCAATAATTTCGAAGTCCGGAATCTGTATGTCAGCGTCGATCGTGTCAACGGAACCGGAACTTGACGTCAGTCTTGACGCTGATTCGTTCAATTGAATGTCGTCTGCCCGTCTTACAATCTAGACAGGTTTCCTGGGAACCGAATCGTAGAATGTCAATTTTCATCAACATCGCTAATCCAATATGGTTTTCGTTTAGTTTTCTTTCAATATCCGTTTTCCACACGTGTACTCACTCAAACTGATGTGAACAGCTGTAAACGTCCGGATGGTCTCTCGGCATGTAAATAATAGTTCTGACAGATACGTCTCGATAAATAATATCGATAATGTCAATATATATATATATTGGTCAGCACTTAAAGTCAATAAATAGATTGTTAAAGCAGTTTCCGATCAAAAGTTTCGATTTCAGATAGGAATACCGGTAGTTTCGATTGTATTTACCATAGTTTTACAGTTTCAATACAATACATGCAATGCTTTTCAAATTTGTTCTTTTGATCAGGAGTGGTAGTAATTTACACATTGTAATGTGGAAATTTCTTTTTTCCCTTTAGGGTAAAGAAAAAACAAATCAGTCATATCTCAAGCTTTACTTTTTATTTATTGTTATGGTTACCACATTCGAAAGAAACTTCAAGTCCAAGGTTTATTTCAACACTAAAATTCATCTAAAATAATACACTGAAACTGTCGATATTTATCGCAATAGTTGCTTGCAATATCAATAATTATCGCAATAGTGATTTCCAGACCAATAGTCACCCCTGGTTTTAATTGACCGCGTAGACAGTAGGATAATACTGTTATAGCATATTAAAACACTAACAGTATTCCATTCACGTCCTGGCAATGTTTCATTTCAGTGTTAAATATATTCTGTTGTGGGGCTATTTCACAAGGAACGTTTGAAGTGCCAGCAATATTCAGACCATTCTACATCGAGTGTGAATGGAAAACTAATATGCATATGTTCTTTGTTCTGAAAATACATATCAAATAATGGCATGTGCATTGCGTGATATCTCTTTAGGCCACAACAAATGCATTTTTGGTCTTCGGTTATTCACGTAGGATGAAATTCGTAAAAATATATTTTAATATTTATTGTGATTTTGAAATATTGTCTCACGTCTCTTTGAATGATAAATGACTGATGGCATTGGACATTGCGAAAGGGGCCGCGAATGCTTTATTTTCCATATGATAATTGTTATTTCTACTTTCAAATACAGATTTTACATTAATCTGTTTATTGGCACAAGTTGATGTCTCATTTACTGATGGAATGCCACAGACACATGACAGATATCACAGTTATTAAATTCAGGATGTGTTTTTGTTCTCTTTTGATGTACTCTTTTATTGCTATTCATTTGGAAGGATAAATGTATGAATATAATAATTTATCCAATTCATAATAATGAATGGATCTTTAACAAATAGATGAATGAAGGCATACCATGAATCTTTTCACACAAGGGTGAGGTTTCGAAGAACATATCCTTAATTTGTGGTGATCTCATGTGGCAAGGTAGCCGCAGCCACATCGTGACGAGTTTCCGTCTCTACAGAGTGCCAAAACAATCTATTTGTGTAAATGTGAACATTAGTATATACCTACACAAGCATGTTCCCCAGCAGGGACTCATTATTATCAACAATATCAAATACACTTGTACACCTGGACGCCACATGACGCTCCAGCCTACGTAAACAGGATAGCCTCTTTCTCAAGACGATGTCCTTCTTACACACCAGGATTCAACAGCTTTCTTATAAATGTCGCGGTTTCAATAACAGATCAACGGGCATCGGATACGCCCATGACGTCATTTCCGGTACCATAGTTTGACCTCTAGGGATTGCGTAACTTGACCAAATCGCATTTGTTCCATACCCCTTCAGGACGTGAGGAATGTTATCTGGGGGGAAATATGTCTGATCTTTTGCGGATCGGGGTGATCTGTAGGTGGAATAAGTATTTGATGCCAGACTGGAATTCTGAAGATATTTACTGGTTCCATGTTTGTATCATTGTGAATGTCAGAAAGTTACAGATGAAATAGGTCCTGTTATCCCGTAGCTAGAGGTGACTATACGTCTGACCGGTGCACGATAGATTAACCTCAATATGTTTCCATTGTTTGTGTCCCCCAGTATGGAGATTCTACTCACTCACTATCAAAAATGATCTGAACCACTCTCAAATGAATGTCGATCACAACAATTCGCTGTTCAGA